AAGCAGGTGCAATTCCCCTGGTAACAACCATTCCACAATGCTATTTCCCCATAAGGGCAATGACTGAATATTTAGTCTCTTTATGTGTGTAAAAGATGGTGTTATGCAAGTGTTATTTGTAAACTACAAGAGATACCTCCAAGTCCATTAAAAAGCATCAAGCTTTCCATGTTGTTATAGGGTGCCTGCTTCACCAACTACCACTCAGCCATGAAGTAACTCCTGAACATGCTAGAGGACATAGCCACCCGAGCCCTGCCTAATTTCTGACCACCAAACCAGACAAACACTGTCCTGCTCTAGAACACTGTAGAATGTAGCCAACTGACAGGAACTGAGAACTCTGAATTACCCTGGTTACACTTGATTGCTCCCTCCCAGAGAGGGGTTTCCTTTCATGGAGGAGACTCATTTATATTAGCTTGTGTATTGCTCTTGAATATTTACAAGAGAGGTCACAGTTAGGAGTCAGAATGTTCATTTTCTTAGCTGTAGCACAGTCAGAAGAGCCAAGATTGCAGCTGTCTTCTGAGGTACTGGAATTGCTATCACTTTTCTCCATTTCCACAGAAAGTCTACTTGGGCATGCCTTGGAGCCCAGCTCTATATGGTAGGCTGTTTGCTTGCTCTATATCTGTTTGAGTAGAAAGCCCAGAGGGCATTAGAGTCCAACTGCCTTTGTTCTGAGGTTATCTAAACCCAACAAGTGAGGCCTTTCTCAGAATAGGGTCTGTTTGTTTAAGCAAAGGAGCCTCTCATGGTTTGTGATGATGGCTGGATTCCAGGTCCCCAGAATTATATAAGGTTGCCTTGTGGAGGCAAAATGGCCTCAATTGATCACCCAGCCTTTGTTTGTTACAAGGACCCAAACTAGAACTCAAGTGGTATAAGGGAAGCCTTCTCTTATTAGAAGGTCCATTTTCTAGACTTGACCCCTCCAATATTGCTGGAGCCAGAGGCCTCAAAGTTAGGCTGGATATTTTCTTGTGAGCTAAAGAGGTAAGTGGAATGTGGGGTTTATCTGATGTCCCACTCATTATGAAGTAGTTGGATAATTGTAAATATATAAGCACTCCTTAGGGCACTCATGCCCGTGAACTAATAGACAACAGACCGAGTGGTGTTTTATGTGACTAGGCTATGGGGAACCAGGTCCGCATGGATGGCCAGTCTGAAAAAAAAAAGGGGGGAAGTTTTTTCATAACAAGAGCGGCAGTCTAGATGCACAGCACATTCCGGGCATAAAGAAAATGATAACTGATGGGTTGTACCAGGGCAAAGGTCCAGGTCCAGAGAGATTTCTTCACCCATGTCACACAATGTCCAAAGCTGGGCTTGTTCATCAGTTCTGAAACACCCACAATTCTTTAGAGGAAAAATGTGTTCTTGATGCCCTTGACAGGACCCATTGGTTTTCTTACACCACATGCCAAGTAGTGCTGGCAAAATTAATGAAGGATTGGCCAGAGAAGCATCTGAACTTTCCCATTGAACTTCTAGGCCTCCATTTATCAGTGTTACCATTTTAAAAGACAGACTTCCCTCAAATCATCTGGAAGCTGGATAAAATAACATGCCAACACTGGTAGTAGGAGGACACCACTTTTGTGAATGCTTCTCTGATAATAGTGCCTGCTGTCCGGCAATGATTCCTCTCAAACATCTGTGCCCAAGTCCCATGCTTTGCATGGGCAAAGAATGCTTCTGCTTTTTTTCCCCTTTGCTGTTACGTTGACAACAGATTAAACGCCCCTGGTTCTAAGTCTGGATAGCCCAGGAATGCCTATGAAACCCCTACGCAGCTGCCTGTACTCAGATTACTCAGGTCAAGAGGGAAAATAAGCTGAGTGGGAGTGCAGTGAAAGCAGGAGGTATTTGCTAAGACACACAGAGTACTCCCCAATCCCTACGTCCTGCCCATGGCTTCAAGGAACTGTGGATGGTCTATTGAGTGTGAAATCCAAGGTTTTGTGGGGTTGCTGGCAAGTTAGAATAGGGGCACAACAAGCTTCTCATTGATGAGTCGATATAAGTGACTGACAGAATTTGGATCTACAAGTTAAGTTTCAACTCTAGTACAATCACTAAGACAATACTGGGGCTATTCAGGGAAGATGTTAGAAGGGTAGTTATATGTGTGTTTATTTCTATATGATCCAAAACTCCTCTGCATAAGTCACAGGGGACAATGGTAGTGTGCAAACTTGCTAGGGATTATTATGCATCAGCATCATTCTGATAACACCAATTAATGTGGATGAACCCCCAATTCATTTTAACAAACATCAAATCTGGGTTTAAAAAAAAAGAGCCAGATCCTTTTATAATCAATAGGCCCACTTGTAGTTTGCATTCAAGATAAGGCCAGTCAGATCTCATGCTTCTAGGTCTCAAATGACTTCCAGGGATGGAAGGATTCCTACCCCTGTAAAACATTACTCAGCTGAGGCCTGACCCTCTAAGATACTAACTGAACACACCTCCTTAAAAAGCTAAGCACCCTAGCATTTCTCAGGAGTGGCTCAGCAGTTTACAGGAGCCAGCCTTTGTGACACCCATTATAGATTTTTTTTTTTAAACCTTCCTCTGAATCAGGTGTGGGCCACTACACTTGATGGACTAGAAGTCTGATTGACCAAGAAAAATACTGTAGACTAATCCTCCAGTCAATGGTAGTTTTGGACTAAGGACTGCAGATTCATAGATTTTAAGGCTAGAAGGAATCATTATGATCTACCAGTCTGACCTTCCTGCACAGACCATAATATTTCAGCCAGTAATTTCTGCATCAAGAGTATAACTTGTGGTTCAGCCCTATGTTCTGAAGTGCATTGAGAACAAAGATCAATGGAAAACAAATCAATACTTGCATATTTATAAGTTATAAAAAGCATCATCACCAGCAGCAGCAATTATAAGCACCACTCAGAGTGGTACAAGTGCATTCTACATGGCTTGGACCAGAGGTACAATGGGTTTTCCCCTAGTACAGGGAGCACATACCCCAGGACCCCCTGCAGCACTCTATCCATAATGGCAGATTAGAAAACCCTCTGCCAGTTTTATTACTACTTTTATTTCAGTAGCACTTAGAGACTCCCAAGGCTGTGGCACCCCATTGTGCTAGGCACTGTACTAGGGCACAGTAAGAAACGGTCCTTGCCCCCCAAGAACTGACAATTTAAGGGTGGGTTTTTTCCAAAGCTGCTCAGGGATTTAGGCACCCAACTCCTACAGAAAGTCATTTGGACTTCTGCTCCTAAATCCCTCCAGCACTTTGGAAAGCCTCCCCTGAATAAACCAGACAGACCAAGGAAGAATTATAATCACTGTACAGACTTGAAATCAGGGCACAGAGAGATTTAAGCAACTTGCCTAAGATCATGCAGGAATTCTGTGTCTGAGGTGGGAACAGAACCCAGATTTCCCAAGTCCCAGTCCCAGGCCTTAGCCATTCATAACCATGCCTTAATGATAAGCCTACCTCTCTACAGACTAAATGCACTGGATGATGGAGCCAAATACATCATGACCAGATAGTTTAACAGGAGTTTGTTTCAGTTAAAATAAACTAATTGAATAATCAAGCTGGGAAATGGTTTGGACACTATACATACAGCAGGCACATTCGTCTTAGTTCCTCATGTGCAATGTTCTACAATTAATGGATGTAAAGCTCAGGCCCAATTATGTCTGCTGCCCAGCAGTCAAGCTGCAATATCAAGTTCTATGTATTTTCTATATCTCTCTGTGTGTATAGCATTAGCTTCACTAATTCAGCATCATCATAGGCAGAGCCAAGTCAAACCCTTTATTTGGCTTCAGCCTGACCAGCAGTCCTGTCTGAACAGTCACTGTGACCTCAGTCCAAACAAACGCCACTGCTTAAAGCTGGCAATATTATCCCCTTAATAATCTGACACCTCCTTAATATGGGAATTAAAAATGTGGAGGCATGATGAGTTTAAATGGCTACACTTTGTGTAGTTCATTCCCTCTGATGCTAATGCTACAATAATTCCGCAAAGTTCCTTGAATGGACGGAGGCTTCTTCCTTAAGAAAGTCAAATGAACAATATTTACTTCAGGGCTGGCTGCATCTGTTAGGAAAGAGAAGGATCAAAGCTAAAACAATTGTAAAACATTTTTATAATTAAAAAAAATCTTAAAATGTAGAGTTCCAAGTTTATTAACCAAATGAGAAGTTTTCTATTAGCTTTCATGTAAGAAATGACAAACAGCACAGATGAGAAGGGTGGTCCAGTGTTAGAGACACTGGACTCAACTCTGGAGATCTAGGATCTATTCCGGACTCTGCTGAAAACGTCTTACATGACCTTGGAGAAGTCACTTTCTCTCTCTCTGACTCAGCTCCTCATTTGTAAAAAACGGGACAATACTTCATCTGTCCGTCTTGTCTGTATAGGTGGAAATGCTCAAATGTGTGCTTAACTTTGAGGACATTGCTATCAGTGCAGCTACTGAATATTTAGCACAAATGTAAGGATTTGCAGGATCAGGGCCTTGGATTGTAAGATCTTTGGGGCACGGAATGTTCATACCTGTCTGTACCTAGCACAATTGGCCATTGATCTCAACTGGAGATTCCACACACTATTGTAAAACAATAATTAACAGTAGACCATGATCACCAACAGAAAGACATCTAACATGCCATTAACACCAGATTCCAGAAATACACATAAAATAAATGTCCCAAAAGACAGTTCATTTTTCAATATTTCATTGACCACTTCAGGCCTTTTTCCATCAGGATATATTTACAGAAAGGTAAAATCTTTGAATCCCATAGATAAGTCAATTCAGTCTTCACCTGTACTGGTGGGACAAGTTCATTTCCAGCGCTGCTCCACTGATTCCAGTGCAGTGACCTCAGCGATCACTTTGACCCACTAAGAGCTTTAGAAAATATTGAATAATTACAATCACTTGGTTTTTCTAGGGAACAGGGAAAGGAAAGGGAAAACAAAAAGCATTACCTATAAAGCAGAGCAACAAAATACACAAAGAGGTGAAGCAGAACTCCAACTATAGCACCATAAGAAGGCAGAAGGGATCCAGGGGAAGTGATGCCCGCAGCTCCAGCGCCAGGTACAGCCCTGGAACTGTCCATCACTCGTAAGGAGGAGAAAGGAGCAATCTAGTTCTAAGTCACACAGCAATATTCTCCAACCTTTGCCAGAAAGGATCATAGTCTTCCTCTTCCCTGGAGCATTCCCTGGGAGTTCTGTTCTTTAAAACCTTGGAGTAGAGAAACTGTGCCGCAAAATTCATAGCAATTCCCAGTGTTAGCCAAAGCGGCGAGACCCCAGGCAACTGACTCACTTGCCTTTGGAACGTACCGCCCCTGTCAAGCCTGGGAGGGATGTGTGCTCTGTAGGTGACTTGCTGTAAGCAGCTCTCCAACGCTAGACAGGGCAAAAGAAATGACTTTGAGAATTGGCTGCTTCTATTTAAAGAGATTATTTCCCAGGCCAGCCTGTCCCTGTCAATTTGAGTCAGGGCCTGGATTATACTTAGGTGACATTCAGTTGGCAGAACACGTAAAGCTTTAGATACTTAGCTACAGAGCATGATCTAGGTTTGTTAAATGGCTCGTGAAGTTAGCAACATTGACTTCTGCAGAAAGAAACCACAAGGAAAGGCTGCCACTTTCCCGAGGGAGTCACAATGGTTTATGAATTCACAAGGGGGCATTTTACTGACACCTGGGTTTTATACTACTTAACCCACAAGCCTAGGAAGCAGAGTTTTAGCATGCTGGATCCTTGGAAGTCTGGAATCCAAGCCCTGAATTCAGCAGTGTCAGCAGCAGAGTTGCTGAGTGATGGGCTGCTTTGCTCAGGGTCTTCATAGTAGGAGAAAAGTCTACACAGCTCATTCAGGGAAAGTAGGAAGATGAGCCCTCTGGGGTTAGAGGAAGACGATTGCAGTGACATGTCTCTGAGGTCAATTCTGACCCCTGGTATATAGGTGCGGTAAAGGAGCATTAGTAAAAATCAGTGGCAGAGCTACAGAGCTGCAAGACTTATGTATTATTGGTGGGGAAAGATGTGTCAGGAAGAGGGAATTTCACTTCTTTCCCAAGTGACAGAGCATAAGATTTAGACTGCTTGGGAACCCCTACATTACTGCAAACTTGTCAATTGTACCACCGCAGCCTCAGTCATTTTTTCTCCTTCCTCCACACAACAGGCCTGCAGGCCTTCACCCCCTCATTTGTACTCCCCAAGCTGTGACACAGTTGCTGCACTCTCCCTCAACTCTCCATACTTCCCCCACTTCCAGTTCTCCCACACATCAGCTGTTTCAGGGGGGAGGTGGCCTTGGCTGGGAACCATGAGAGGCCATGCTACACGTGGTCTCACCTCAGCAGAATGCCATGGGTGCAGACACACCATGTTCAGGTCAGTGGCTACAGCCAGAGCCCTCAGCCTTGTACATGTGATCTAAGCCCAGGGCCAGTTTTATTAAGGGGCAAGGAGGGAAAGTGAGTGGACTTTCAAGGAGTCATCAGCTGCTTTACCCAGAGAACATTTGAAGCACGGGGGTGGAGCGTGCGCCTATGGATATAAACCAGTGCTCTTTATTTCAAATGTTCTGAGAAGGATCCTATTATTATTACAAGAATTTTTGAGGCACTCCTAACTAATTGCCAAGTGCACTTCACATGGTTTCAATTAAAGACAAAAACATTTCCCAAGGCATAGGGAGCCCCTGCAGCATTGCTGCTTTCAGAGCAGAGATGGGGAAAACCTGCACTGAATGCTAGGGGGAAGGGAGAGAGAAACAAGGACCATATATTTCAGGTATAACAAACGCGGTGAATTCCCGAGGCTGGCCTGGCACCCCCAAGTTGAAAAACACTGTTGTAGATGCCGAAGACTGCTGTCACCGTTTTAAAGATGCTACAAGCCAAAAAGTAATACTAATTTTCCATTCTATCACCTCTCACAAACCAGCTTCTCAGGAATTTATTTTACTCTTTTAATACATGGGGAAACCGAGGCACAGAGTGACTGACCCAGAGTCACGTAGTGAGTCAGTGGCAGAACTGGGAACAGAACCCCAAAGCCAATGACCACCTATTTTTAGGTTTGTACAGCACCTAGCACAAAGAGATCCACGTTTGGGACCATGAGGCGCTACTACTATTGTTTGTATTATGGTAACAGGGAATCCTTAGAACTATTTTGCCTAGCAGCTGCCAGCCAGTTTACCAAGTTGAGGCTATTCTGGGGAGAAACATTCAAAACTAAACTACCATCCTGCAGACACTCTCCAACTGCTGGGAGAAGACACTTCCACAGTGAGGTTCAAGTCCATGTCAAGTGTCCATATCCCAGACTGAAAGCCTTGCCAATTAAGTTTAGGCTGGAAATGCTGACTGAGCTGTATCTCAGAAGGCGCTGCATTACCATAATTGCTCTAAGTTAACAGCCATTTTCCGAGCTGCTGTTTCCTTAATGAGAGATAAACGGTTAAACATGCCCTATTATTAGATGTCTCTTCCTCTCATTCTTGCCTGTCAAACTTCATTGTCACTGAAAGCTTCTTATGCTCTGCTGGCTTGCGCTGCCCAGACACATGCTGGCCCTGCTTACACACTACACCACACGCACACTCTCACCTGCCTTGCTTTCTCCTCTTTTGAAGCAACCGGATTTTATCACCCTTTGTGGGCACCAATTTTATTTTGAATGTCTACAGTTATTTCCCTGACCTTGACCGCTTTCTATCTCACTTAAATCCTCTTCATAGCTAGGAAGTTAATCTGGTCTTTCCCTCTCCCTAACACCCCACTCCAGGAAATTCTATTTCCTTCCTTTTTGCTACTGCTATTATTGGAAGGAGTTAGATTATCATGGTGTACTTACCATTGCTGTCCAAAAACCTGAAACATCCAAGCCTGTTTCCAGTACTGAATAGTAACTCTAGGGTTTAATAATGAGGCACACAATTCCCTTTTTTCTTTATGGAGACCAAGGGACCTGTCTGAGGGTATGTCTACACTACGAAATTAGGTCGAATTTATAGAAGCCGGTTTTATAGATATCGGTTTTATACAGTCGATTGTGTGTATCCCCACATAAAATGCTCTAAGTGCATTAAGTCGGCGGACCGCGTCCACAGTACCGAGGCTAGTGTCGACTTCCGGAGCGTTGCACTGTGGGTAGCTATCCCACAGTTCCCACAGTCTCCGCCACCCATTGGAATTCTGGGTTGAGATCCCAATGCCTGATCATGCAAAACAGTGTCGCGGGGGGTTCTGGGTACATGTCGTCAGGCCCCTCCCCCTCCGTCAGAGCAATGACAGACAATCGATTTGCGCCTTTTTACCTGGGTTACCTGTGCAGACAACATACCACGGCAAGCATGGAGCCCGCTCAGCTCAGCTCACCGTCACCATATGTCATCTGGGTGCCGGCAGACGTGGTACTGCATTGCTACACAACAGCAGCTAATTGCCTTTTGGCAGTAGACGGTGCAGTATGACTGATAGCCGTCATCGTCGTACTTCTCAGTGAGTTCAATCAGAGGCACCCGGGAAAGTTCTTCAGCAGATTCCTCTAAGAAATACTGCACCAAACTTTCCACTCTGGGCATCTGATTCTTGATGATGATGACTATCAATCATAGTACATCATTCTCTGCCAAGCACCCAGAAGATGCCGATGGCTATCAGTCATGCTGCACCATCTGCTGCCAGCTTAAGATGTACAAAATAGATGGACCAGATTTGTTCTGTATTCATTTGCTTCCCCCTCCTTCGGCCTGCTAAACCCAGTGACAGTTGTTTGTATTTCTCCCTGATGCTTAGCCATCTTTGTTGATTTTAATTCCCTGTACCTGTACGCCATGTCGTCAGTCGCCCCTCCCTCCCTCCGTCAGTTTCGCACCTTTTTTCAGACCAGACGCCATAGCACTGGAATCATGGAACCCGCTCAGATCACCGCAGCAATTACGAGCACTATGAACACCACGTGCATTGTCCTGGAGTATATGCAGAGCCAGGACATGCCAAAGCAAAACCAGGACCAGCCGAGGGGGCGATTGCAGCGCGGCGACGAGAGTGATGAGGAAATTGACATGGACATAGACTCATAGACTTTAAGGTCAGAAGGGACCATTATGATCATCTAGTCTGACCTCCCGCATGATGCAGGCCACAAAGCCGTCCCAACCCCTTTCCCTTGACTCTGCTGTTGAAGTCCCCAAGTCCTGTGGTTTAGAGACTTCAAGTAGCAGAGAATCCTCCAGCTAGTGACCCCCACCCCATGCTGCGGAGGAAGGCGAAAATCCTCCAGAGCCTCTGCCAATCTACCCTGGAGGAAAATTCCTTCCCGACCCCAAATATGGCGATCAGTAGAACCCCGAGCATGTAGGCAAGATTCTCCAGCCAGACCCTCATTGGCCATTGATACTATTTACCAGTGATGGCACGCTGTTGATTTGACTAAAATCACGTTATCCCATTAAACCATTCCCTCCATAAACTTATCTAGCTTAATCTTAAAGCCAGACAGGTCCGTCGCCCCCACCGTTTCCCTCGGAAGGCTGTTCCAATATTTCACCCCTCTGACGGTTAGAAACCTTCGTCTAATTTCAAGCCTAAATTTCCCCACGGCCAGTTTATATCCATTCGTTCTCGTGTCCACATTAGCTCTTAGCTGAAATAAATTCTCTACCTCCCTGAT